GCTGGAAGGCTTTGAAAAGGCCCCTGAGGGGCCCCAGCAGCAGCAAGCAGCTCTTGGGGGCTTCCTGGGGGGCCCCCTGGGGGGCCCCTTCTCCCTTTCTGTCAGCAGGGCCTCTCTTTTTCGTTCTTTGCTGCTGCTGCTGCTGGGCTCTTCTTACCTGGCCATCATTACGCAGCTGGGGGGGCCCGCCGTGGGGTCACTCAAGTTTGCTGCCAAGAAGGACTGCAGGCCAGCCTCCTCTGAGCAGCAGCAGCAGCAGCAGCCGCAGCAGCAGCAGCAGGAGCCGCGCAAAGGGTTTCCGTCCTTCTGGGACTTCATCTCTCTCTTTGGGGCGGAGGCAGCACGGGACCTGCTGCTGCTGCAGACCAGTCAGGAAGCAGCAGCAGCAGCAAAAGCAGCAAAAGCAGCCGGTGCGGACTCTTGCGCTGCTGCAGCAGGGGCCCCAGCGAGGGGCCCCTCTGCTGCCTTCAGCAGCCGCGTCTCTTTGCTGCTGCGCAAATGGGGCCCCCACTGGGGGCCCCCAGACGCAGCAGCTCTTGTGGGCATTTGTTTGAGTCTGCAGAATTTGCTGCTGCAGTGCAGCAACGCGATGCTGCAGGTTTCCCTTTGTCTCCAGCCCTCCGGTGTAGGTGACCCTGCTGCTGCTGCTGCTGGCTCTACTGCTGCGCTTGCTGCTGCTGCTGCTGCTGTTGCTGCTGCTGCTGCTGGTTCCTGCGTGGTGCCGGACTCGCCAGTAGTGCTTTGGTTTCTGCTGCCCGTGCAGGCGTGCCTGTTGCTGCCGCTGTTGTTTCTGCTGCTGCTGCTGCTGCAAATACTCTTTGTAGCTGCTGCAGTGTCTGGAACGCTGTGGCTGCAGGGTGCACTGTGCGTCTTTGACGGCGAGTCACCTGCCTCCGCAGCAGCAGCAGCAGCAGCAGCTGCTGCTGCTGCAGAAGCAGCAGAAGGAGCAGAACACCTGTGGGCTAACATCCCTAGTGAAGCTGCTGCTGCTGCTGCTGCCGCTGCTGCTGCATCTGCTGCTCGCGTTGCAGCCGACCAGAGTCTCGGAGAGTTTGTGCGGCTGCTGCGGCAGACTTACCTTCCGTCTGCGTCAGCGATCAGAAGCAGAACGAACAGCAGCAGCAGCAGCAACAGCTGCAGCTGCTTGCCGGGAAAATGCAAGTGCAGTAGCGTAGCTGCAGGAGCAGACTCGCAAGGGAGAGCCTCCTCTCCTGCTGCTGATGCTGCAGCAGCAGCTGCTGCTGCCGACTCACCAGTTGCTGCTGATGCTGCACAAGCAACGCCGCCTGCTAATGATGCAGCGCATGCTGCTAGTGCTGCAGCGCCAGGAAAGGATGCTGCTTCACCTGCTAATGCTGCAGCAGCTGCTCCTGTATCGGCTTCTGCATCGGATGCTGCTGCCCCAGTCTCTGCGGCCCCAGCTGCTGCTGCAGCTCCTGCAGCTAAGGCAAAGACTGCCGGGCCTGCAGCAGCAGCTGCTGCTGCTGCTGAAGGCCCCCAGCAGCAACCAGATGGTTTGTGGGTGTCTGTGTCAGCGCTGCTAGAGCTGCTGCAGGAGGAGGAAACAAGTGATGCTGGGGCTGCGCGTGCTGCTGCTCCCGTTGCTGCTGCTGCTACGTCTGCTGCTGCAGCAGAAGAGAATTCTGCGGCAGACGCAGCAGCAGTGGCGTCCCCCACCTCTTCTACGCAGAAGCCCGCAGCTGCTGCAGCGCAACCTGGCAGCAGCAGCAACAAAGAATGCTCCTTACAAGTGCCGCCGACCTCTGGGGCCCCCGCTAATGTTTCAGAAGTTGAGGCACAGAAGCAGCAGCAGCCAGAGCAGCAACAGCAGCAGCAACAGCAGCAACAGCAGCAGCCAGAGCCGCTGCAACCACAGCAGCAGCCAGAGCAGCAGCAGGAGCAGCCGCAGGCGGATGCACCAGAGCAGTGCAGCCAGCAGCAACCGAAGCAGCAGCAGCAGCAGCAGCAGCGAATGCCGCAGCCAAGTTCAGCAGGAGAAGTTCCTAAGGCGGACAAGAGGCCTCTAGAGAGTGACGAGCTTGGGGCAGCATCTCAGGCTGCGTCAACAGCAGCAGCAGCAGCAGCAGCAGCAGCAG